ACCACTCGCTGTTACTCCAGCAGCAGGACGGGCTGCAGGTTTCAATCTGCTCTCAAGATGACAGAAGATTATTCAGTCCCTGTGTTGTTTTAAATATGTAGCTAAACAAAGTGAATGCAGTCATGAGGGCTAAGTGTAGTGTAGACCAGCTGGTTAATAGAAAACACACCCACTTCATGAATGAAATGTGAATGATCCATGTCTGCTAAAGAGTGCTTCACTGGCTTTGTTCGGAATGGAATACTAGAGTACTGCTTACAGCATACTTCACTGTATACACTGAATTTGAACTACTAATGACTAGTCTTTCAAATAGTATGTGAATCACTTCATACTGCTTATGAAATGATACACGTTTCAGACAGTAGTTTGCTACATTGTTGTCAAATGTCCTCTCTACAATTCATGCATTTCTGACAGAAACAGGATACATTCATTTCTGAGAAAAACAGGATATTCAGCAACAAAATATAGAATCTTTGCATCTAGTGTGTCATTTTTTTTGCCAGTCTGAGCCAGTCATGATTTTTGGTTTATTTATCTGGTTAGTGAATGAACCAAAAGTTATATAGAGAGAGAGAACCAAAAGTCATATACACGCACTATTTTATAGGAAAGTGTAGCAGAGAACAGCATCTTCACTTATAATAGCTATAATTGCTATTTGATTTATTGAGCACCTTCAGCCTTAATAACTGGAATGCTGTCATTCTAAGGCAGCATTTATGCTGTCAACCACAGCATAAAGTATTTTTGTTGTTGTTTTTTCCCCCCACAGATATCTTGGTCGATTTTGGCATGCAAGTAAGCAAAAACACTTATGAGATCCAATTTTATATTTGGCATTCAATTTGGATTACTTTCAAATGTGGCTCTTAATCTGATATGCATTTCATATCTGGTCATCTGATGTTCATTTAAACAGTCATCCGTCTGTCCTCTTAATTTGGGATTTCTGGCATCAAGTGATTAATATTGAATGTATTTATTTAGTTGAATTTTTCACACTGAAAAAAATTTCACACAGAAATTGCTAGTAATTTTACAAAGAAATGGCAATTAACACATTGAATTTTACCTGAAATTTTGAAGTACAAAAACTGAAATTATATTTGTTCTGTATAACATGCTAAAATGATCTTTGTTTTCACAACATTGAAAAATCCTTTGAAAAACAACATTGAAAAATGCTTTTATCCAAAGTAACTTACATTGCCTTCAAGTTACACATTTTATCAGTTTGTGCATTCCCTAAATGCAGCCTAAATAGTTGTAATCATTTTTTATTTATTTATTTATTTTATTATTTTGTTGGGGTGAATTATTTCTCTACTATCTCCACTACAGCGTGTCTGTTTCTCGATTGGTTTCTGTGGGTTGTAATGTGTGTCATTCCATAACAATTCCATAATGAAACAGTCACCACAGAGCCGTTTCAGCTGTCCCTCCTTTTCACAGATACACGTGCAAGGTGTAGAAAAAGTGAAGGGAATAAATCTAGAGGAAAGTTTGTGATATATAGACAGATTCCAGCATGTCTAAAGGGTCCTGATAGCAGCCGGGGAAAGCGGTGTCTGTTGCCATGACTGTTAATGAGGCTTAGAAAGGACTCTGAGCTTGAGACTGTGTGTATTATACTTTGATTAAAGGACAGAGATAGTGAAGGAAAAATGCATGTTGAAAGCAAATGATGAATCATTTCTCATAGAGAAGAAAGGCAGAGAGATGTCCTCCATGTCTGAACTACCTGCTTCTGAGAGTGTGCTTTCACATATGCAAAAGCTGTTTGACATTGTGTGTCTAGATAGCTGTCTAGAGTTTATTCTTAAAATCTCTTATTTCATCTTGTATCTGCAACATGTGAAGAAATGCATATATTGGCCATATAAAGTTGCAGTATCCACACTTCATGTGCAAGCAGCACAGCACTGATTAGCAGGATCATAGCATAAGCAACAGTGCACGTTGGGTTTTGGTGGTGAGTCTGTTTTTGTTGCTTGATCCCAAATACTCAGAAATGCACTAAGACCTATTTGTCAGCACAACCTTTTGCAATATAGGCTTTTGTAAAGCAAAATAAAATAATATGACCTACTCATCCATTCTTTGAAAAAGACATCTGTTGGACTTGATGTAAGTTTCACTCTCAGTTGCAGGCACACAAACATGTTTGATTCAGTCATTTTGACTGATTTCAATCTCTTAGCTACATTTTGGGGTGTCTTTGGGTTTCTTAACACTGTAAAGCCTGACATTTGAAATAATATAGTCAGTCAGAAAAAAATCTATTTTTTTTTTTAAATGGAACAGTTTATTAAACCTATATATATATATATATATATATATAAATCTAAAAATAGCATATGCATTTTTGTGTATCATATTTGCTACATCAGGCTTTTATGTATGATATAGTGAGAATATGAAGCTCATGCTCAAGGAGGGAAAAAAAGCAACTCAATTTTATTCAGAGGCCCAAACTGAGCAAAAATATGCAATTTGATGCTGTTGCTGATATTCATATAGCCAAAAAGTAAGATGAAATGCTCATAGCTTGTAATGTAAATCAGTGAGATCTTTATAACAGTATAGCTGACTACTTTCATAAAATGCATATAATTATCAGTTGTCACTCTATATCTACCAAAAATAATAAGATGATATTTACAGTAAATGCTTAATTTTATGAAACAGTAAAAGCTAGTTTTTATTGTGGGGGCAAAATATACAGTATAGTGCATTTACATTTCATTTCATTTACATTTAATCATTTAGCAAACACTTTAATGCATATAACAAATAAACAAAATATGCATATCAAATGGGTTTTATATGGTTAATTATGATTCAGTGTCAATGTAGTGTAAGTTAGACTTCATGACCAGAGGTTGCGTAAAATATTCTGTTATTTGAAAGTATTAACAGATAATTCCAAATGCTTTCATTTTATCAGATTCCATAAACTTTGATTGAAATTGATTGCTCAGACTGCCTTGCAGCCAACCAGGATGCCCTTGCAACCATATACAGTACATAACCATACATCTTATGCTGGTCCCTTGAGGATGCAGCTGTTTCACTGGCACTGGCACCACTTATTTTTTGTTCATAAAATGCACTGACATATCTAGTTATTTTTGGTATTGCAATGAAAAACTACAGTTTCATGGTCAGTACGAAATATTTACCCATGTAAAATTCTCTCAGTTCACCCGTCATTGGCAGAAAGTTAATTTTGGACCTTGCTTACGCTCCTCAAACCTCCACATCAAAGCAGAGAACATGAAAGACAGCGTTAGCAAGTTCTTTAGCCCTTCTTGTTTTGTATTGTCACAGTTGTTGAACACTCTGTAGAAATGTTAAAGTGGGAACTATCATTTTCACCCATCAGGCTCCAGAGACTTGCTCTCTTTTGGGAATAGAGAATCTGACAGTGGTGGCGACGTGGTCTGATGTTGTATTTAGATGACTGTGTTGACGCACATCAGTGTATGGTTTTAAAGCCGTTTCAGTGGCTTATATGGCTGCCGCAGGCACATCGTAGAGATTGTGAGTATGACAGATCAAATGGAGACACCTGTTTTTTAAGTTTATCTCTACATCAACCTCTGCGTGTAGGCAGCAACCGTTGAGACAGCCAGCCTCACGACGGGACACACACACACGCACAAATGAATGCTGTAATCCCATGTGTATATTTGTACAAAGTCAAGTAATATCTGTCCTTGCGCATCAAACCCTTTCAAAGCAAAGTAGAGTAAATCTGTATTTCTGAGAATGGCATTATAATGAGAATTGTTTTCCAGTAGTCATACCCAGGGTCCAAATGGTGGGTGAATTGAGAAAATATATCAGCTAGATAGAGTTTTTATTGAAATTATATTTTATTAATTTATTTTTAAATCTTTTTACAGCAAAAACAAATGAAGGCAAAAGAGTTAAACTTTGCCTTCATCATTTATTTTAGCTGCTTTTGAGATGCCTTTATATCTATTTTTTTTTTTTACCCTTGACTCAGACTTTAGTCTTAAAATATTACACAATTTTTATTTATGAAATTTGATTTATGAGAATTTATTTAGGGATGCACCGAAATGAAAATTCTTGGCCGAAGCCGAACAAAATGAAACACTGGGCCGAAGGCCGAATACCGAACACGGTTTTTCACATTTTTCCCCCATGTAGACCTATTTTGCCATTTTTTTTCACCATTGCATTTTTTTTGCTATTTTCGGCCGAATAATTTCGGTTGCCAAATATTCGGTGCATCCCTAAATTTATTTATGAGATTTTATTTCTTTTTTTAATTTTTGCAGGTTTTTTTTCGGAACTCATAAAATGCTAGTTATGAAACTAGCCTTTGCAAGACAGGGGACTTTTAAAAAAATGTCAAAAATGACAGAATTCTGCATGTATTGTCCACTTTTAAGACATTGTAAGTAGACAAATTAAATACAAAGTTTTTTTTTATTTTTTTATAAATCCACAGGTCCAAAACTGCCCATAGTTCCTACTGTATTTCATCCTTTATATCTTTTCTACCTTTTTTGTTGCTATGTAACTTGCATTTTGGGATTAGCAAGTGTTATTTCAGAGTGCACTCATTGGTTACTGTGCCTGAAACTTTGACCCAATATCCACATGCCAGTTTAACTGACAGACTTGTCTGATTTTGACTGAATTTGTAGCTGAAGTTGCTGTGAGAAATGTATTGACTTCTGCAGAAGAATGTGTGTGTGTGTGTGTGTGTTGGGCATCGAGCATCCACTGGTGTCAAGAATGAAGTCTTAGATGAAGTGTTTGACCAATATGCCTAATCTTGATATGTAGAAATCATCAGTATGAATGCAGCATTACACCACATTTTTCTGTTGATTTTTAAACTGAGTATTTTATGTATTTTGTAATACTTCTGTTAGGTTGTCAAGTGCTACACAGTTAACAGTGATATATTGGTGTTTTGGACTTTAAAATTAAACCATCTCTCTGTTTTTCTGCAGGTGGGTTGGCAGTAGGCAGTAACTGAAGATGAGGAGGCGCTGGTGGCGATCGGGGTTGGTGATTGGCTTGCTCGTTATCATCACCCAAATCTCGGCGCAAAACACAGAGGGTGAGACTCAAAGTTCTGTCCATCATTCATTCCCTATCACTAACTCAAGAGATTTTATTTACCACTTTTGCAAAATAAACCTCGCACTTTTTCTCCAGAACCATAACTTTCGATTTCATTCCTGGAGTTGGTGAAATGGGATGTTACAGCCAAGCGTTTACGCTCTGAGCGAAGTCAGAGAGATAATTGTATCTCTATCTCTGTGTGGCAGTGTACCGCAAATCGGTCTCTGCGTCTTCTCTGCACACCTTCATTACCGAAGCAGCCAGATACAGCTCTCCAAACTGAGTTTCTGATGATGTATGAATTATACCGTCACGTCTGCCAAAGACAAACTGACAACCGTAATAAAAATCTCAAAACGTTGCTGGAAATGCCGCAAGGCTGAGTGGAAATAGAGGCAAATAAATTGTGGCTATTGTCAGACTGTTCAGATTAGCGGTTGAGGATAAAAGATTGGTGGGCGTCTATAGTTGACATTTTCCGATATCCTTGTCTGTTCATGCGACGTTTATTGTTATGGATTTTAGTATGATTTGAAGAGCACAGTGAGGATGTTATGTGCAGGGCTGGGTGGTAAAATTGTATATAACGTGCGACGGTTGAAATTCTGCCATACTCTTTATGCCACAGAATATCCATGATGAAACTTCTTACAACAGTCTGAAAACTGTCGCAGATGGGGGCTTTCAGTGTAGACAGCTTCATTAATTATAATGGGAGTCGTTTAGATTTAGCATGTTGTCTTGTGTGTCTGGTATAGACATAATAACTGAATGTTGTTTGTGGTTGTCAAGCAATGTCTCATCTTGGCTCATTAAATTGAGGATAAAAGATTGGTGGGCGTCTATAGTTGACATTTTCCGATATCCTTGTCTGTTCATGCGGCGTTTATTGTTATGGATTTTAGTATGATTTGAAGAGCACAGTGAGGATGTTATGTGCAGGGCTGGGTGGTAAAATTGTATATAAAGTGCGACGGTTGAAATTCTGCCATACTCTTTATGCTACAGAATATCCATGATGCAACTTCTTACAGCAGTCTGAAAACTGTCGCAGATGGGGGCTTTCAGTGTAGACAGCTTCATTAATTATAATGGGAGTCGTTTAGATTTAGCATGTTGTCTTGTGTGTCTGGTATAGACATAATAACTGAATGTTGTTTGTGGTTGTCAAGCAATGTCTCATCTTGGCTCATTAAAATACAGGTGTGCAACTGTGATTGAATTGGCTATTTATTGGCAGAAGAATAATATTTGTGGTTCATCCTATTCAAAAATTCAAACTTGGTCCAAAACCTGACAATCTTAGATGAACTTGAATGAAAAAGCTAATTCAAGATGGCAAAAATTAACAAAAAGACATTCAATCTGATGAAAAATCTAAAAACTGTTTTACTCTATTCATGTGAGCTATGTATTTGTTGTGTTTCTTAAAGGTATAGTTCGCCCAAAAGTTGTAAATTTGCTGAAAATGTACTCACCCTCAGGCCATCTAAGATGTAGAAGAGTTTTTTCTTCGTTAGAGCAGATTTGGAGAAATGTAGCATTACATCACTTGCTCACCAATGGATCCTCTGCAGTGAATGGGTACCGTCAGAATGAGAGTCCAAACAGCTGATGAAAACATCACAATAATCCACAATTAATCCACACGACTCCAGTCCATCAATTAACATCTTGTGAAGTGAAAAGCTGTGTGTAAGAAACAAATCTGTCATTAAGATTTTTAACTTTAAATCGTTGCTCCTGGCTTAAATATGAATACTCTATTCATAATATTGCTTTCTCTAGCTAAAAAAGGGTCTCAGCCGAATCAGAAGAGAAATATGCACAGATCAAGTACTGTTTGATGTGATTTGATTTTGAAGTGAAAACAGTCCAAAACAGTTCTAAACAAATATGGTTGTGGATTTTGATGTGAGAGGACAACAGGGAGGAAGCATTACTGTGAATTAAGGACTCATATTTTGGCCAGAAGTGATGGTTTAAAGTTAAAATGCCCTAAAGGTACAGTAAGTGATTTCTGAGAAACACTGTTGAAAATGTAAGTCAATACCCAAACAAACAATTGCTTACTACACCTTTAATGTTGGATTTGTTTCTTACAAACCCGTAGCTTTTCACTTCGTAGGATATTAATTGGTGGACTGGAGTCTTGTTGATTACTTCTGGATTATTGTGACATTTTTATCAGCTGTTTAGACTCTCATTCTGACGGCACCCATTCACTGCAGAGGATCCATTGGTGTGCAAGTGATGTAATGCTACATTTCTCCAAATATGTTCCTGAAGAAATAATGCGTCATGCGCCATTTTCACCTCCTTAAAAAATGCTGGAGTTCCACGAAAGGGCAGTTTTTCTGGGAAGCAACAAAGTGGGACGTGTGCACAAATAGATCTGCCAATGGCTTTGTTGCATCAAAGAAAGGAAAAAGGAGCTGTCACCTTTTTACTTATTATTATTATTATTTTTTTAAAGCTGTGCAACATACTAATGTTGACAATTACATGCAGACAAGATGAGCCTAACAAAGGTCAGATGACAGCAAACAAAGGATGTGAAAGCATTAAAAATAAAACAAATAAGGCAAATATAGATGAATAAAAGGAAATTATGAGGCATTCAAGATCTCCTTATGAAGTTTGACAGTTTTAAAACTTTTTTCTTGCTGCTTTGTGCTCCAAAAAACAGCATTAGTGTGGCAAAATTATGTGTGACAGCCACATACTTACGGACAAATTTGGAATAGTGATTGTAAAGAATGACAAGTCAGCAGCAAACGGGGTCAAAGCTGAAATAGTTTAGAAATAGCTTGACTGGCGGACAGCCAGTATCGAACGTAACTCTGTAGCTGTCATAAATTCATAGAGTATCATACAATGGGGAAACTTGATGCAAGTTATGTGAAAAGGTCTTTAGAGTATTAGTTCATTAGCTTAGCATCATGCTAACATCTGATTAGTGCAACTGTGAGTGTCAGAGCTTGTGTATTTGTGTGCCATTTGTGTAATGTGCTTTAATAGAGCTGTTGACTGTTTACATTGTTTCAAATCAGTGAGTTAGGTGCCATTTTGTTTAGTATGCTGCCTCAGAAGAATTGGTGGGTTTTAACTTCACATGGGAATGCTACTAACTTAAATGCATCTTTCAGTAGCAGTGTTGGGCAGTAACGCATTACTTAGTAACGCATTACTGTAATTTGATTACTTTTTTAGTAATGGAGTAATTTAACGCGTTATAATTTTCAAAATAGTAATTAGTAGGGCTGTGCAATTAATCCAAAAACAGTTTCGATTTCGATTTTGGCCTCCAACGATTATGAAAATATAATAATCGAGATAAAACAGTTATTGTGCCCCATTCCGCCCCCTTTCCTGCGCTTTCGTTCCTCCATAAAAGCCCAATTTCACGTGCAAATCAGTAAAATCATGTAACGTGACTTTTGCAAAATGGGACGTGCTTAATTTATAGAAGTATATTTATTCATGTTTTTAAAAGCGTGAAAGAGAGCTTGCGCTGCTCCTCAGGAAGATATATGCGCTCAGAGACGGAACAGAACACGGACATGTGGAGTCATCTTTTAGCTCAAGGTGCGTGCCTAAACAGTCAAATACACGCAAAAATGTGTCAAAATTTACACATTAGTGACTATTCATGTATACCTTCGTCGGTCATGTAATAAATGAACGTAAAGAGTTGAGAATGAAAATACGCGTGTAATGGTAAATTGGATCCGTGTGGCTCTTAAAGTGACAGCGGGCTATTTTCCTGCTGCGACTGTGTGTTAATTTTAATTTATTTGTAAATTTAATTTAATTTATTTATTAATTAGTTTGATTAATAAATCAAACAACAAAAGACACATTCAAAATCACTCACTGCTCTTGACTGAAGAACTTTTGTAGCTTTAATAAGAAACAAAAAAGTTTCTTTCTTACAGTGAAGACTATGCTGTTTTATTTTACATTTGATTATTCATTTCTGTATTAGGCTGTAAACTGCTTGAGACTTGCATAAAAAAACATCAAAGCACAGTTTGTTTCATTTGTATCTTTTTATTCTATTGTATTTGCCATAATCGAGCAGCCCTATTTACAGTATAGTTACAAGCCGAGGTCTCTATACGTTACTGCTGCATTATATTGCTGACAGAATGCAGTGTTTTATAATCTAGAGATTGTAAAAAGGATGTAGCACACGCACTGTCGAGTCAAGTTGTTATTCATCTATTGCACAAAAGCAACATGAACTAATATAAAATATAAATGAATAACAGGTGCAAGCGCATGCAAAGTTTCTATTTAGGCTGTAACACGTGTTTGCAGCGTTGAGCAATGCAGTGCTGAAATTTGCGTGCTCACGAATCCTCTCATTATAACACACGAATTGTAGACATTAGGGCTGGGCGATATATATATAAAAAAAAGATATCTCGATATTGTCAACATTTTTACGATATTCAATATATATCTCGATATGTTTGCATTTGCTTTTAAATAATAAAAAAAATGGATTTTCTTTTGCCCCCATTAAAAAAACAACAAAAACAATTTAGATTGAACAGCTATTGTTACAAAGTAAATACTAAATGTTTAGTGCAAATTTAAGCAGTTAAAAAAAATCTACACCAAGTGATCACTTTACTGCTTTTTATTAAATGAACATAGGTATATGTAACTGAAGTAGTGCAAAACAAGTACGGAATGTGCATTCTGTCAACTTTTTTAGTGCATGCTAGTGTTGTCAAAAGACCCGGTACTTCGGTACCAAGTCGGTACAAAAAAAATTAAAACGTTACGTTACAAGGTTTTTTTAAGTACAGGTGGTACCGAGTACCCGATCAACCCGGTTCTTGATGCGCTATCCGAAAGGTGCGCAGATGCGCTCTCTTCATAAAAGCACTGAGACGTGGCGACATCAAAAGGAGGAAACACACCAAACTAACAAATCACTTTAAAGACAGACACCCAGATCAAATGAAA